CCCCAAAACCCCAAAACCCCAAAACCCCACAGTAAGCTTATAATGATATTATTCAGAGAGGATTGCTTTAATTAAATATAATAAAATGCATAATCATAACTACATAAGTCGCAACTAGAAATTAACTGAGTCTCTTACATTTACAAACGAACCGAATAAAATTCTTGACAAACTCATTCCTAAAATTATGCTTAGCTGATAAAGACCTGAAAATCTCAATAACTATGCGTTGGAAACATATTTGATTCAGAGAGAAAATAGAAAAAACTTGCACTAGCTAAACTTTTCCTATACCAATGCCCAATTTAATGCAAACTTAATTTCATTATCATCTTTGTCCTCAGAGAAGTTAACTAAATAGGGATATATTATTGCGAACTCGAATGACAGGTTAGATTTAAAATAGCCTAAGTATACTAATCCAAAGATGGAAATTGAGCTATAGAAATTTATAGATAAAATTAAATATCGATTTTTGAATGGATAAATTGGGACTGGTTACACATTTCCGAGAAATCTTGACAACCAACCCTCAATTAATAATGATGCTAGTGCATTGACATCATTTATTCCCAATAACAAAGGCATATTTAGTCCTTAAGCTAAATTTATGAATAACCCTTTTGAGGAGAGAAGGAAATATGAAGCAAGCAAAGTTTAAATAATAAGGGAAAGAAGACATATGGAATAGTGAAGCACTATAAACAGCAATTATTAGTCAATAGATCCAAATTATAGCAGTTACCTAACTAATAATACTAAAACAAATAAAAATCTAGTAAATAGTACATAAAAACAATACTTGAATGTTAAATCAGAATAAGGGTACATGCCAGAGATAAAAATTATAGATAACTACTCACCCTAAAATTTTAAATAATTGCTGCAAAAACATCAAAGAGATAGCCTTACTAAGTCTTTTGATAGCATATCTAAAATGACAAGAACTTAGAAAAATGTTAAAACTATAAAATTAGATCTAGCAATTAGTGATCTTAAAAATTATTATTAAGGTCTGATCAATCAAACACAAGACTAAAAATTAAGTAAATTATTTCGTATTCCATTTGACTAGTAGCCATAACAGGTTTAGGAGATGATTAAAAGTAGTCTAGATATCGAGGAAGTAATATAAGGCAATACCTAAGAATAAGTGAAAAGTTCAAGTGGTTTTAGAAAATCAAACAAAATTTAAAAATAAGCTAAACTCAACACTATAAACCTAAATGAAATAAAGGTTGAACAAGGCATTAATTTAAGTAATACTTAGAAGGAACCACCTAGGCAAAAGAAAATATTAGAATTCAGAAATAAGCTCTAGGATTTAATGTAGAAGCGCAGGGAAAAACAAATTAATTTAAATAATGTTGACAATTAGGCAAATATAGAAAAAAACTTAACAATATAGGCAACAGTCCTACTTCATCATATCAACTAAAAGTTCTAATAGTAGCAGTAATTATAAGATGAAGTTATTGATTCTTAGCTTATATCACCCAAGATTAATATGGATGTCTAGCTACCCAAAACTGGATTCTTGAATTAGCGTTCCGCAACTAAAGAGACTATCAGAAGGTACAGAAATTCTCCTCCTGTAAATGAAACTGAAATGAAATCTACATACTCTCAGAGTAAATACAATTCAAAGGTTTTTGCAAATAAACAAGAATCAAGAAATATAACACTTGATAAAAGTAATTTAACAAATCTTCCTGAAAGTCACAATCATGGAGGGTTTCTGATGATACCAAGCAAATCAAGTGCTCCTTTTTCAACCAAAAATCGTTACATGAAAAACAAATCAAGATTTTCAAACAAAACTATGGAGATATAGAAGGAGAGAAAAAGCAATCTCAACGATGTGTCTACTTTAAATGATAGTGAGTACTCATTTGGAAATCTTAATCAAAGTGGTATGAGAATAAACAACAGCAATTTCTAGAGTAATATCAACATGAGTAATATAGGAAAGATGAATAAAACCGCTATGTATTCAACTTACCATATAAATTAGCAGACTGCAAGAAAAGTTTTACAGGATTAGTACAATTTGCCAAATGACATCAAATTTTTTAGAGACTCAAGAAATATGTTACTTCAGAATCACCGTTTTATTAATGACACCATGATTTCTGGGAAAAATATCCTATGACTATCATGAGCAAAAAAAAAAGCCTTACATTACAGTAATATTTTGATTTGAATTATTAAACTTAATTTCCTCACTTTTTATTAGTATAAATGATCTAGGGGTTTTGGGGTTTTGGGG